TTTGCATCTCTATTCGTACTCTTCCTTTAGTTGGAAAGCCTTGTCATCAACCTATTTTAACTTTATTGGAAGATTGTACCATTCTGCCAGGTAAATGCGATTTTCCACTCGACTAATCTGTAGGCCGCGGGTTCAGTCCTACAGCATACGTGACACACAAGACGTTGGAAGTAGTAGAGGCAGAATGGAAGGAGTCGCGTGGATTACACCCTTTTTAAAATTTTAAAATTTTGGTGCGCATAACCGTCCGAGTAGAGCCTTCTTCATCACACAGTCTTCAGTGCTAGAAAACAGGAACAGAAAATGTCTTATAGCAGTTCTTGCGCTATTCTACCGTTTTAATGAAGAGATATAAACATACATTGGCGGTTTATTTCTGTCGGTCCTTCGGTTTAGGCAGGCCGACTGTAATAAACAGCAGGTTGGTTAGTAGGTAGCCTTTTGTGTCCGCGATCTGGGGCGTCTGGTGTTGCAATGACTGCCCACCGAAGGAAACCGCACAGAATTAACGTTTGCACGAATGATGATTCCGAATTTTAGGCTACTAGACTAATTAAATTGACCGAACAGGCTCTTAAACAGTATGGAGATGCGGACCAAATTTGCATGGTAGTTATAATATGCGGAAAAGGGTTCTCAAATTTGAAAAAAGTCAGAATTCCGGGATAAGAATAAGAGTTCATCTTCTGCTCACCGGAATAAATTTGTAGATTTGCTGACGTTTCGGACAGCTGGGCCGGCTGTCCTTTGTCGATGCGATTACTGACTTTATCGATTAGCAAGTTTAAAGTTGTGGCTGTACGTGTTGGCCTTGGGCTGATCGATTTTTCTCCAGTCGCTGTTTTGCCAGGCGTGTGGATTTAGGCTTGGCATGATGGCAGTTGGTGTTCTGTTTCGTCCCCACAGTAGAAGATGCTGGTAATCCTGCTCCCTCTTCCAGTGGTTTCGTCACAGTGCCGTCTTCGTCCGCAAATACTTACTCCGGTTTGGCCGTGTCCTGTCCTTTACTTACGAAATGGCGTTGGACTTTGTAGGCCGCAGGGAGGTCCAGATGCCTGTTGACAGAGTTGGCGTTTGAATACCATGCCTCAAGCGTCAATCTTTCAGCTTTTGAGGCTCCTCGGCCTACGATGGTCGTTCCTTGAATATCGAAGTTGTGGCCTGTCTCTCCGGTATGTGTTGCAAGCTGTGAGTTAGAGTCTAGCCTCCGGGCCGCCGCTTTGTGTTCCTGTAGGCGAGTCTGCAATTTGCGGCCTATTGGACTCGCCAAGACTGCAAAGCAACTGGGCATCTTAGTATTCGAGTCAGGTTAACCTTCATCGTTCGAGTGAAATAGATACAGCACCAGCGATAGGTTTTACGGCCACGCTGTGGTGGCCTACTTAGGTATCGGTTCGTACCGG